ACTGCCTGGCATGGAGCCCATGTGCCTTCGCAGCAAAGGTCAGTGCAGGAGAGCTCCTGGAGCAGAGCTGTGTGAAAGCTTGTTAATATGGTCCCTACGATGGATTTCATTCATAGCATCCTGGAACTCCTCTCTGTCATGGGAAGCACATGTCTGGCGTACATTCAAAGCACAAAAAAACTAAAAAACAAAACCTCAAACCACAGACGAAAAGACAGAAAGAGAATAAAAAAGGGGGGTTGCTATATCATTAAAGATCCTTAAGTTATTGTACAGTGTGCTTTCGCAAACATCTCATTACCTCAAACGAGACCTTGTCTTTAAAAGACACAGAGTAGGATTATAACAAAGACAGATATTAGTGTGTGATGAAACTGAAATAACTCAGAAACGTATGCAACACTAATGTTAATACTTAAATTCTGTTCGTTTAAATCATTTATCAAGCAAAAATGCAAAACATTCATTTTTCTGGCTTTGGTAGGTGTAATGGAGAATAAAAAAGTAATTTGTGCTCTTGATTTATTAATTCGTCCTCTCATAATAGTAATTCGTGCTCTTGATTTAATGATTCGTGCTCTTGAATTAGTTATTTGTGCGCATGTATTAGTTCTGGGGTTTTTTTCCTCAATGACACCTCCCAGGCTCCATACAATATTTGAAGAGTTGCTGATTTTTCTTTCTCTCTAAGACATCATTGAGTTCTTGATATTATAATATAAAAAGAACTTCTATTTTCACTGGGTATTTGAAAACCTTAAACCAACCAACCCAACCTTTTAACAGTCTCGGATTGGTCAAGATTCTGCTTGAAACTTCACTTAAAAATACATCACAGGTCTGTCTGTGCAATATAGCTCAGACAAAGCAACTGGCAGCAGCAGAACTTTGTTCGGGCCAATGCATAAGAAACTCACCCAGGTAGGAGGTGACCTGTCTTGTTCCTGTTAACACGTCTGCCAATTAGGAAACATATTGTGGCTTTTTCCTTCGCGTTGCAGAACAGGGAGGGGAAGGCGGATGCTGTATGCCAGGCTGGAAGATAGATTATCCGGAGCTAAGACAATACGACTGTGTGCTTTAAATCTCAGTGGAAGATAATGACTGCAAGTTCATATGGAATCTAGTCAATCTGGGAATGTTTCCCTTAGTAACGACAGTGTGTGCAGTAAATTTGCAATTGATTCCTGTTATTGATTACTATTCCTTGATTACTATATTAACAATGTGAAAAGTGCAGTGTCATTTTCTTTTCAAGTCAAAATTGGTGACATAAACTACTAAAACTCTAATAACACTAAGTTCACAGAAACAACTCTATATGGTGATAATATGTGAATGTTGTGCTCACGGCTTAGTCTACTGCCCCCAAGTGGCCAGAAAAATTTGTTGATTCCTAAACTTACTTCAACAAATCCTGCTGCTTTAAACTGTTTGTCCTGTAGCCTACTTTGGAAATGAAATGCTGCTGTTCTGTGAGCCATAATTACTGTAAGTTGACCTTTACTAATTCACCTGGGACACTTGTGAATCAGTGTGCTTGGTAATGCTGCAACATAAAACTCCACAAATCAATTTTTTTTTTCTTCCAATGGATCAAATGACTACATCTAATATAAAACCAAACAGACCTCTCCCAACTCTGCAGCTCTACAGAGGTTTTCATACTCTAGCTCATTATGGTTTTACGGTACATTTACTTTATTGTTCAGTCTCACCACTATCATCAACCCAGTTTTCCAGTAAAAGATGTAGCTGTTTTCATCAAAAGGCTTCTGATAAACCTGTACGCTAACTGCTGTAATTGAAGATTAGATATTTCTTTCAGGAGTTGGTGGAGACCAAAACAGAACAAAAAGGAGAGTGAATGAAGACTTATGTACATTCATCAGTGTTGCTCTGTGTCAGCTAGAACATACGCAACTCTTTGATGACATATTAGCCAACAACTTTAAAAGGTGTTAATGGACCTTTTTCACAGCAGAAATTTTGACTTGTTGAGAGAGGGAGAACACAGGTGGAACCACATCTATTCCAGTGAAACAGCATGCGGAATGGCTTTATTTACACCAAAAAGTACTGCAAAACAGAACACAAGAACAGGCCAGAAACAGGCTGAACTGTCAGTATTTTTTTTTGTTAAACACTGATGGGGTGGAACGTGAACTAACCCAGATAGATTTGACACTGACGAGAGATATCTGAGCCAACTGGGCCCTCTGTCCAGACGAGAGAGAAGACGCTCAGGGAGAGTTGTGCTGAACTCAACTCTGACCTGTCTGGGTGTGAAAGTCCAATGAGAAACTCCAGAGCCAGCATCAGGTTTCAGCTCATGTGTTAAACTTTTGCTGGGAGGAGGGGGGTCAAATGAGTCCAAAGCAGCTTCGAAGAAATTAATGCAACACATGTAGGGTTAGGCCACATGAGCACAGTCCAACTATTTTCCCCTTCCTATATAAATATCCCCACTGCGGAACAGCAACTGGTTGATCAATCTGACTTAATGCACAACCACACATCGGCCAACTCTTCTTACCAGCCTCCTGGGTATTAACTATCCTGAACAACTCATCTGGAAGATCTGAATCAATTCATACTGAAAAGATACTACATGCCTCTGACTTGAGATGGGTCACATTATGGTGATAATGTCTCTCTGAAGGAAGACACTGTTTGCTAAAGGAATGTTTTACTACAGTCCAAAAATATATTCTCAGCTCAACTTTCATTTGTCTGAGCGTGCAGCACGCAAGCTGCATGCAGCGCTCGAGGCGGAGAGAGTCATGTTGGCTGAAGCAGTACAGCTGGCTAGTAAATACTGGCTGACACTAAGTGTGTCAACCATCGGAAGAAATCATTCACAAATGATCCCCAGCTATAGGACAGAAACATGCACGAGACAGACAGAGAGCGGAAAACCAACAAGGAAGCTCTAGGAGTGGTGTCATGAAATATGTAACATGACATTGCATGGAGTTGAACTGCTGAATCTTTTCTTAGCAGCCTTGAATCCCTGCCAGCAAAGACAAAAGTGCACCGTCTGGAGACAGAGTCGAGACTCATAAAAAGGGAGCACTAATGATTCCCACTCATTATGCTTTAACATGAAGTAAGCTGCAACTAATTATTTCCATTAATCAAACAATCGTTTTGTCTATTAATAGTCCACCAAAAAAATTCCACACACAAGTTCTGAGAGACCAAGGTAACTCAATTTGTCCAAAACATATTCAGTTTGAAATTATACAAGACAGAGAAAAACACATTACTCTTAACACACATTTGAGAGACTGGAAACAGCTACTATTTAGCATTCCTGCTTGCTGGTTTCAGCGTTTAATCAGGTATCACCCTGCCTTTCACACCATTTCATTAGAGCTGCAACAATCAGTCGACTACTTGATTAGTCGATCGACAGACAATAATCGGCAACTATTTTGATCATCAATTAATTAAGAATTTAATTGTTTTATTCATTTTTCATGCAAAAATGGAGAATGCCATTTTCTTGCATTTCTGTTTTATGTCATAATAAACTGATATTGCTTTTATAGGGACAGAAACTAGGATAGACATTTTTCTGACATTTTATAGACCAAACGATTAATCATGAAAATAATCGGTCTGATCTTTAATGCAAATAATCGTTGCAGCCCTAATATTCATTACTTTTGACCTTTAAATGTAACCCCATCTCCCATGGGTGTAAATAAGAGCTTGTCAACACCACTCCCTCCATCCATTTATCCCAATCAGTCAAAATTAGCCCCAAGTAGGTAAATATCCTGCCAATACAGATCAGCATTCAGACTTTCCCACACACACACACACACACACACACACAAATGAATTGGCGATGATGGTTTTCGATGAGTCTGAACCCATGGGAACAAACAAGGCCAACTTCTGATGACGCTGAACTGTTGATGAATAAATGAACAACTTCCTCATGCTTTGAATCACACTTTTTTTTAAGCATTTGCCCTTGCTGGTAATTAATTCCCAGGAATCAACAGTGAGTGTCGTGACTGGCAGCGTGTTTAGATGTAAAAGTCTTCTGTAGGCTCCTCCACTCACCACTGTTGTGCAGTGTCCTTGTTCAATCTCACCTAGGGCATGGACCACTGGTGACTGAGATGTCATGAGCCACAGCCCAAAGCGTTGCAATCCCAGTGTGAGACAAACACACAGGCATAGACACAAGCACACTCTGACATCATCATTGAACATTTCCCCAGAGCTCTCAGGCAGCTATTCTTCATTTACTGCTGGGATGTGATAAACTTAATAAAGATAGTGCAATTTACAGGTTCCTAACCTACAGTTCAAACCAACAATGTGACTTTTATTTTATGTGTGCCACTAAAATAACCCTGGAATTCATCCATAATTGAAAAATTGAAGTATGTTTGAAGTGCCTTGAAAAACTGAAGTCAGCCAGCAAAATGCCTCAAGTGCTACCACTGATTACCAAAAAGAGTTTCAGCATCATCAATTATAGAGAGCCTGCCCTCCTCTGAGGTACACACACTGGACTGCGAGCTAAAATGTGATGTTCTGCCTTCCACACACAGATCTACTGGAGAGAATGACAGAAATCCACGAATTTAGAAAAGATGTTTACAGTGGAGATGTTCCATTCTGGCCGAACATGTGTTACAGTTCTGTAAAGTCTGGTGCGCTAACAAAGGCTTTCATAAAACATGATGTACCCAAAACAGCCAAAGGGAAGACATGAATGAAGAATAAGCAGAGTAGAATAGACAGCAGGCAAAATGCACAGTGACATGAATGATAATGTGCGCATGATGCACAAAAAAAGAAGCTTTTTCTTCATGTTCTCTGGTGGATTCTTTTAAATCTGAACCATTACTCAGTAATAAAACAATTAAGAAACAATCTACTCACTACTTTTGCACATTCATTTTTCATATAACAGGAAATAAATGTGGCATCTTCACCTCATCTTCTGCCCCCTCACCCCCACCCCCACCCCTTACCTTCATCGGATCTGGAGAGCACGCTGTCACACACCGATACGGAGACGGACAAAGCCTGAAGTGCTGTCAAAATCACAAACTTCAGACTCCCGGGATTCATGGTGCCCGGCTGAAAGCGTGGACGGGACTGGCCAACTGTTTCACTGCAGCGCAACCATCATAAGAACCACAGTCCACCAACAGCTGATGTGCAAAAGTCCCCCCCCACCCCCCAACACCCCCAACCCTAACCCCGCCACCCTCCACCCACAAAAAAAAAAAAAAAAAAAATGATAGTGACTTCCTGAAATATGATCAAGGAGTAGGGATATGTGAGAGGCGCTTTAGGAAATCCCGGCGACAGCTGATCGAACTCCGTGCGCTCTCCCCATTCACAGACGGCCAAGTCCAGAAGCTGCGTCGCGCGTTAAAAAAAAAAAAAAAGTGAGAAAACGGATAGAAAATACAGAGCGAGGGATGAAAACATTGACAGATACACAAGCCGCTGTAGTCTCAGTCGCCCGCTGGAATGACATCAATTCCGGGGCAATTACTGAAGAGAAGTGTTGTCTTATGAGTGGGGACCATGTGCTTCAATGAGAGGCTCCGCGAGGTCCTAAAGCCACCTCTAGCGCCCATTATCAGTAACGGAGCAGCAGCAAGGTACCGGGAGCTCACACAGCACTTACGGTTGCAGCTTTCAAAATAAAGACCCAGATATAGAGTGTATGTAATGTAAAATAACTTGAATGAAATGCTGTTTTTAATGTTATCCTCCTCTCCTTTGACCTATCATAGGCTAAACAATGGGAAACCACCTGATTATGTTAAGATTGCTCATTAAAGTTCATGATGTTGACTTTGGAAATAGTAGTTTCTGTGTTTTTACTGTGTATTGAAGTTGATTGCTAAAGCTGAACCTCTTTGTATCATATCATTACAGCATGTTGTGATGATACACAATATGTTTTGGACCTTATTCCGTCAGAACTTGTGTCCCAAAAAAGTGGACAGTGAGCCTGGAAGTCCTAAGCTGAATATAACCCATATGACAGTGCTAACCTAGCGTTTTATTTTGAAGGCAAGCTGCTCAATTTCCGGTCGCTCTCTTGGTATCCCTCGCTCAACTTGACCCTACGGGCTTGATAGGCGCACACGTACTGTACCGTAGTAGCCCACACTGACTGTACATTTGAATGATATAGACTACACAGCCCTCACTCACAGATGTTATTATGGATACATGTTGTTATGTCAGGCAGAATTACAACATGCTGAAAGCAGCATTGTGTGAAGAACAAAAAAAATTCAGGCTTGCAAATCCAGTTGAATCTTATGGCTCCATGCATGGAAAAATTGGACAGCCTGCTCTCTGTGCACAGAAAACACACCAGAATTAATCAAATATATTCATGAGACCCACAACCAGCTCCAGATTCAACTTCTTATCAAGGCACTGTGATGCACTAAAATATTACTGCATGGACCTATATAATGTACATGGCCCATTCAAACACTAGACGTAAATCAGTTGTGCTCTTCAGTGTTTGCACTCATGGCCATCCACGCAGAAAACAGGCTGATCATGCTGGCTGGGTTCCTGAAAGCTTGTTCTCCAGCAGCTTGAGAAAATTAAAGTACAGCCTTTCAGGAACAGTCTGTCTCCCAGCATGGAGACTGGAGGTAAAGTCACAGCAGCACATCCAATTGCTGACTTACACCATTTGAAATATAGGAACTATAGTGTGCAGCCTAGTGTCATGAAGCTCAGAAACCTCCATTTCTAAAAACTTTTCCTTAAGGATCAAATATGGATGGAAATAAAAGAAATACTGAGGAGTATTTTTTGCATGCTGATTTTACTGGAACTCAACATTCGGCTATGGGATGTTACAAAGAGCTGATCTTTTGCTCTTTTTAAGAACCAAGGGGAGCTTGGAGGATGATGATAAGGTGCAGAGGGGACCAAGGAGTAAAATAGGACTTTCTGTCAGTGTGCTAGGACAGATAGTGCTCAATAATAAATCCCAGCTTCATGGAAGTTATTCCATCTAACCTCTCTTATTATGTCCATGCAGTTTGGTAAAAAACACAACTTCACACGAGTGACAAGAAACAACTTTTATAGTCACATTTTGAAGAAAATTAAACAAGCTATCTAAACACAACTCAAATATAAAATACATACAAAGTACATAAAGTCAATTATGTTTTATGTTACACTGAATAGTAAGACCATTGTAAAGTTCAATAGAGAAAACCACACACTTTATAACCCTCCTCAAGCAGCAGCTATGCTTCATAGTTGTCTTATTATACTTTCTAGATGAAATGATTCATTTTAGAAAGAAGAAAACAATTATGAACCACAAATGCTGTTATTAACAATCTACTCCCATCCAAATACACACACACGCATGTGCACTGACACGAAATAAGGTTTACAAAAACAGTCAGAAGCACTCGTCTGTCTTCTCCGAGACATCAGTGCAAATTTAGATGTATGAAACAGCTGGACTATGAAAGAACTCCAACTTAAAGGCTAATGAGTACAATAACAATTAGGAATGATGAAAAGAGCATCTGCTCTGTTGTCAATTATTCCAAAAATAAATATTCACACGTCTCACTTTTGATTTATGCCCAGCTCCATCATGTTGTGCATCAGCACTCTGAGCACATTCTCTTTGGATCAAAACACACAAATCTAAATCTGCAATGGCAGACCCCAGTCCATCATGAGACAAAGACAGAGACAAAAGCTCCATTCAAAATCGGCACTGTCCATTAACGAGGCATTTCCAGTGAGAAGAGGTCACATTCCTCCATCTTACAGCTAATAGCTGGCGCTGAATGATGGCAGAGCGCACTTCAGGCTTCTTTCTGCTTGTTGGTTGTATAATGAGGATGGTGGGTGAAGACTGTCCTGGATGGGACTGTGAGGCATAATGAATGATTCTGTCTTATATCACTGCTTCACATCACATGAGATCATGTGAAAGTGGCTGCGTGAGGACATCAGCACTTTATCGTGCAGGGAGAGGTTACTCTGCATCCCATTACATGAAGTAGTCTGGAAATAAAGGCAATTTGCAATCAAGAAACAAGATAACGCTGATACACTGCATACATCACTGGTTTAGATGTTACATCAAAAGGGTATCAGTCAGTGTGCTTACCAGGTGATATCTGATTACAACCAAAGCAGAACGTTGAGCCAGGATTTCATACAGTGCATCCATTTTGGCCATCTTCATTTGTAATGGCATACCACAAGCGCAGCTAGGACAGCTGAATCCCACACATAAGCATCTGTTTTTTCTCAAAAGAAAACTATATGGCAATCTTTCAAAACTCCAGAAGATCATTTAACAACAATGTTGTTCTGAAGATATTTCAAAAATCTTTTCAAGAAGGATTTTTCTGGCCAACTAAATCAAATATATTTAGTTTACTGCACAATAAAAAAACATTTTTGATGGACATATCTCCTTTCTGTATTTGTACAAAATTAACTTTTTATTATCATGTATATCTGTGTTAACGTTATATTCATGTAGTGTCATACAAAATGAGTAAGGACTTTTGTTGGGTTAGAAATTATAGTAGAGTCACAACAAGGGAAACAGTTTACTTTGTTTTTTATTGTGCTTTAGAATAGATTTTTTTTTATCCAGATGGGCAGAAGAGTCTTTGAAGGTTATGGAAAAACCTTCAAAACAGAGGTAAGTGATGTTAAAGGACCTTCTGGGTTTCTGAAAGATTGCCATGGATTTATTTTTCAGAAAAACAGATGTTAAGCTCTGAAACTCAAATGTAATGCTAATACACAAGAGAAAAAAAACAAGGGGTTGGTTATATCAGTACCTACACTGACATTTTAATTCATATTCAGCACTGTCAAAGAGCAAAGGTAACTGCATCAGTCTGTTATACAATGCTACAGGCTTTGCGTGTCATAATCTTCATCTGTTGTGCATCATTCAGCTGTTGCTCCTTTGAAGAATCTGATCCAACAGTCTCTGCAACAAGAAAACAAAATACTCAGATTACTAAAATGCCTATGACAGAATGAGGGCTATAGATCAACGCTCTAGTTCTCAGAAAAGCAAAACACATTCTCTCCCAGCTTCAGATGGGAATCAAACAGTCCTGTACAGAAACAGGAGTAAAGCCTGGTCCCTGCCGTCCTCTCACCCACACTGTTCAGGTTTCCAGCTCCTCTTTCAGGACCTGCTGGATCTCTGGCTTTGGCCCTCTTCGTCTGTGTTATCTGCCACAGCAGCAGTGTAGGTGGAGCAGCTGTGTGTGGGCACCCACACTGTCTGCAGCTCGGCTGAATGGTGGCACTGCACTGTAGCTCTCTCTGCCACTGAAGGGCCTTTTGTTTCACAAGGAACACAGGCCTCATACACTCAGCACAATGAGACTGTTCAGTTTCTCTCCATAATGAGAGAAAGGATGTGGGGTGCAGTGTGGAAGAGAGGGACTAAAATTGCTATAGCAGTTCAAAACCTGTTCTGTAAAGGGCGATAATTATTGACTGTGCGATTAAAAAAAAACAACTAATAATACGCCTCCATGTTGAAAATGCAGCCAAAGTGTAGTTTTGCAAAAGTTTGGCAACAGCGACATCTGGTGGAATAATAAAGTCATTGTTCTAAAAGCACAGACAAGCTCAAGAAATGCTTCAGCAGCTTAAATATTTAGTGAAATGTGACTATTTAATAATAAGCTAAACTTAAATTTTCTTCAAATTTACATCTATACTATTTCTTTGCAATCAGTACGGCAACACAAAATCAAAGATCACCTCTAAGACGAGTTACCGAAAGTAAAGAGTGCACTTAATAACATTAACAAATTGTAACATCAGAGCACTATTAAAGGGGGAAAATACCCTAATCACTGTTAATCAGAGAATAAACATATGCTGTGCATCCCATCCAACCACTTGTTTTGGTGTCTCTGAGGTTTTTGTATTAACATGCCTTAAGTTCAACCTCATTGGTCCCATTCAACACCAGTCGGTCCAGTTAGCCATAATGGAGTTGGCAGGCAATTTGAAACCATTATTTTCAACAGCTGCCCTGCTGTGAAGAGAGAAAAAGCTGCATCATTACTGCAGCCCTTTAGTGTTGGCCATTAGTGCAAAATGTTTCACCCTTTGCAAGGTTTAATTGAGCTTGTAGGAGAAAGGTGTGTTATTACTTGCTCAATTGCGTGTGAGTCATATTCACAATTAATGTTCTGTTCAGTGTCTCAGACAAGTAGCCTACTTGTTAACACTGTGGAGAGATGTTTTGAGGTTATTTGCTATATTTCATATTTTCAGGGATTTGGTGATTCAGTGCATCATTTTTGCATACATATTCATTTCTAACAACTTCAAGGAGATCAATTTAGGCAGGTCTGGTGCTTAAATAGTAAGATATGACCACTAGAAGAATCTGTCTCTTTGCAGTAATAGAAGATGGATCTTGTTCTATGTAACATATTAACCCCTACGATATACAGTTGTTTTCTCCCTTTTAATCATTGTTGATGGTTTAATGTATCTGTGTTTTGACAAAAACATATAGGGATTACCTTTTTGAAAAGTTCAACTCGCTGTCTGTTGGTCAAACACTCCTCTCTCTTCTTCTCTTCCTCTTTTTTCCTCTTCACTTCTGCAAGTGTACTGTAACAAAATTGGAATTTCACATGTATCTATTTATTACTATGATTTATTACCATTTGTCAACCAAGAACTGAGTCACATACAATTATAACAAAAAGTCTTTGTTATGGTTGAATGTAATCATTTCTGAATGTTGGGACACAGTCATTCACTTCCCATGTAACTTGCAACACTATAATCTGTAGTCAAGTCAAGTCAAGTCAGGTCAGGACTTGACTGTATTCCGTATAAATCCACAGTCTCACACCTCACTCTAATATTTCTTCCTAATCAATAGATGGATATTTCAGGAAGGAGAAATAAACAAGCAAAAATAAACAGGTGAGGCAAGGAAAAGAAAAAACACAATTAGAGCCAAGGTCTTGGCAGAGAAACAAGAAACGGCTTATTTTGTATAGAGATGTTACAGATACCAGCCTTGCCTTCACATGTGAAAGCAATACAAGAGATAAGGATGAATCTGCCTACAAAGTAGAAGCATCTGACAGTGCGCCACGGTAGAGATTGAGATGGAACTCACCGCTTAGTTCTGAGCTGCATCTCTCTTCCAGTAATGGCTGTATCTCTGGGTTTGAAAAGGTTATCTGGAAACACGAGCATGCATGCACACACACACACACACACACACACACACACACACACACACACACACACACACACACACACACACACACACACAGTTCTGAATGAGTTGAAACTCACTGGCAGTGAATCACTTTAGCTTTTCCTTGAGTTTGAAAAGACGTAAAGAACAGACAAGATTATTTATATTATTTAATGAAGTATAATTTTGTATCAAGAGCTGTTAATAAAGTTAATAAACACTGATTAAAACATCAGTGAAGTAATTGGATGTTTTAAAACTGAACTGGTCTAAATCTGTCACTTTTCAAGCTGTCATTGACCCACTGGTGTATGTTTCTGTTAGGGCCAGTAGAGGGCAGAAAGAACTATAAAATCTCTGTCACAAATCTTTAAATTCTTTATTGTTTACTGTGCAGCCTGGCACTCTGAATGGAAATATCTTCAGACAGAACACTGCATCGAGAGCTTAATGACATTTGAAGGACACAGAAATATTTCCAGTGAAATCCAGTGCTGCAATCATAAAGCCATTTGTTACGTATCTTACTCTAAGTGCCTTTTATTGTATTTAGGCATTGCCTAGCCTGGAGTGGCAGTTTTTTTCTTTACAGTTGGCCCAAAAATAGTTTAGATGATATATTAGGATGTAAATGTCCTTTTTATTACATTTCAGATACTGGCCTGTCACGCAATCCATAAAACACATCTTTATGATTGCCTTTGTATATCTTATTCATGCTATTTTATTTATCAATTAAGATTTTCTAGGTGATTTCTGCAAATTTATTCCTGTACTTAGTTGTACAGAGTCTTAATTTTCCTGTCATTGAGTAACAGTGGTAGATTTTGATGGATTTAACACCCCTTCAAGCAAAACATAAACATGAATATATTGTATAATTGAGCAACATGTATGAAACAACACATATTGGCTAAAAACTACACCCTTGCTCTTTGTTCTGTGCCTGTATGTGTGAGATTGGTCATGTGGCAAACAGCCACTGCAGCTGTAATGGGACAATGGGCAGTACAGTGGATGAGAGAGGTGAGGGCAGAAGTTGGCACAATACCATTCAGAGAGGTAGACCGGGCACTGTGGACTCCCCTCTGCCTGAGAGCAGCATTTGCCTGTGGGTCTACCAAATCTGCCAGCTCCCTCCTCTCATATGTCCTTCGCTCTAGCTCTCGCACTCTGCCACGGGAACGACTGATGAAGTCTGGTCTGGACCTCTGCAGTGCTTCCTGCCAAAACCAGAAACATATTGCTCTTCTTAACAAAACATTTAAGCCCAGCCCAGACTATAGCCCCGAGCCATCCCATGGAAAACACCAAAGCCAATGTAAATACATCATTCACTTTTGCTGACATTGTAGTGTATTTGAGTGGTTTCCTGCCTGGGGGTGGAAAAGTCCCAAAGGGGGTTAGGATAAACCTGATGGGTCAGATAATTAACAACATAGGAATTTAAAAACAAAAAATGTCTGCTAAAACAAAATGTTTATTTTTTCCAACGTTATGAAAAGTCACTGTTTGGTTATACTGGTTGCAACACACAAACATACTGCACGCTATAAATAGATACTGCATTGCTCTAAAGGGTCACACAAATCTTATTAATCTTAAGTAGCTTAATATTCTTATTTGGAGAATGAAATCCCCAAACTTTTGTATTATTAGCTTAAAAATACCTCTGAACTCACCTGTAGAGAAATAGTTTCAGGTGACCTTTTAGGATCAGGACTCAGTGGAACAAATGCAGCACGAGGCTGGTTGTGGTGCTGGACTGGGTTTTGAACTGGACGTGGCTTCATACATTTCCCCTCATCTGTCACTACCAAAGCAGAGAAAATCAAATTGTTTGTGTTTCATTTAGACCTGGCTTGGCTTCACTTGCCTGAGCAAAATGCACAAATGCCCAATAGCCCCCCGGGCCTGCCATGACATATTGCTTCTTGGTATGAATCAAACAGGCACAGTATGTAAGAGCCAAGGAATTTCACTGTAGGTGTATTGATTCAATCAAAGATGTAGCTCTGAAAAGAAAGTGTTGAGCTTGCAACATTTTCACTTAATTGTAAAAGAGATCAATGCTTTATAAGGGTAGAAATTATGATTACATATGAGGGGAAGAAAGAAGTAATAATACCGGTGTTTCCCTGAGGTGATTCAGAGGAGTCCTTCTCAGAATTGCCATTTGGTGTTTTCTTCTTACTAAGTTGTCTTTGGAGTTTGATATTTTCTATGATCGCAGCTGCATTGAGAGCCAGCACTTCCTCTGGAGACTGATGTGAGTGGGGATCTGAAACGCAAGAGGACTTTGATGTAACTGAAGAGTAAGTAAAACAGTGACAGGGATTGATATTCAGCTACGATTTGGCAGCTGTGCACCACAGGCAGATTTTAACCCAATTTCATGATGTCTTGCCATTTGGAGGTTGAGTGTATCAAACATTGAATTTAAATTATGTTGCCTCAGGCCTCTGTAATTAATTGATGACACTGTTAATGAATGTGATTAAAGAGTAATTAATAGTTTTACGCAGAGAAAAGACATAATGAATAAAGAAACACACACGTGCTCTGCAGAAAACTCCCTCCTCATATTACTAATTCACCTGAATATTCAGAATACCAGAAAACAATAGCTTGAGCTAACAATTTTTTTCCCCCATAATATAGGGGGCAATTTGAATCACACTTAAGTCACAAGAATGAGGACTTGCAGGCAATTTTCTTAAAAAAAAATTAAAATCCTGGAGAAATAAAAGATTAATAAGACAGCAACATTCAAGCCTTGCAAGCCTCCACATATTATATATTTGATTATGTATCTAAAGGATTGAAAGCACTTGCAACTAGATATGCAATTGACTTATGTAGACTTGTAATGTGACTTGGACAAGATGAGATAAGACTTGAAGTTAGATGAGAAAAACAACACTACTCTCTTTGTACATTAAATATGAAGCTATTGCCAGGAGATGGTTAGCTTTGCTTAGCATACAGACTGGAAGCTGAGAGAAACTCCCTTCAGAACCTCTAAAAGCTGATTGTCACTTTGGAAACTCCAGGCGGTTACTGCTCCGGGTCAATAAATAGTCCAACACATAACCCCCTGTAAAACCACAAATAGTCCTATTTTTATTTTGGGCTAAACAAATGAGATATAATGTGCTGTTAGCACAATAGCTGTTCCCCCCTGTTTCCTGTCTTTATGCTAAGCTAAGCTAACCATGGCTGTAACCTCATATTCAACGGACAGATGTGAAAGAGGTGTTGATCTTCTCATCTAACTCTCGGCAAGAAAAGTGCATTTTTCAAAATGTCAGACTCAACTCATTAACCTTAACCTCACTAACCTTAACCTAAGTCAAACCATAACCAAAAACCAAGTCTCAACCCATTCAAGTAAATAGATAACTTTGTGAGACTGGATGCAATAGCTGCACTACAGGATCTGAATGTCAAAACACATCCTAATACCTTATTTTCACCATGTTTAGCAGCTTGTGATTTCTCTTCCTCGCCTGTGCTGTCAGTGAAAAGGGGGACTAGAATAGATTATACATGCAAAGAGATGCGTGGGAAAATAAAATAAGGTGAAAATGAGAGTCTGTAGGTGCCAATGAGGCCTCTGCAACTAGTCAATGCCATTTGACATCGGTGCACATATCTGGCATGAGTGTCAATTGCACTCAAGGCAGCAGATAAAGGAATCATCTCAATACAATCTCATTATGCCTATCAATAAGACATCAAAGGTTAAAGACAATATCAAACTTCAGGCGGTAGAACGCTGAAGTGTGTGTAATAACTTCAAGCTAGAACACACAAATGGCACAAAGGAAATGTATATTTAGACAGTGCCATCCTTTGAAAATGGAGATCAGAGACAAGGGGAGGCTGTGTGCTGACAAGAAGACTGTCAGAGTGGGACAGAAGAACCTACCCGGGGCCTTGATGAGAGTTAGACAGGGGGACGCTCTCCTCTCTGCATTCTCTGGTGGCACTATTTCTTTCCCGCCTCCGTTTGGCTTAAGGGTGTCTGCCACTTGCTGACCTGCTTCTTTCACTGCTGTTCGAGGACTGATCAAACTACTGTCGGAGTTCACAGGGTTGATAATGGTCTCTTGTGGAAGCGCAAAGCTCCATTTCCTGGCAGCTGGTTGTGTCACATTCTCCTTGCTTGGTTCAGTGTGTCCAAACACATTGCCATAGCAGCTCAGTGGTCTGCACGGCCTGTCCGATCTCCGTCCAACAGCCCTCAGAGAAACCTCTGAGGGAGCGGGTGGTGTGATAGCAGGGGGGGTGCTCACAAAAAGACTCAGTGTGGACCTGTGTAGTGTTTCACCATTTTTTTCTGCATCTGAAGTGGATGTATTTGGTGCTACAGCAGAGTTTGGTCTCTTTGAGTCCAGATGGTGATACGAAGGTGCTGTATTGTGTTGTGAATGGTTTCCATGACTCCACATGCTGTTTTCTTTGTACACTCCATCTGTGTAGCTGTGTCTGTACTCTGGGTGCCTCATCCCAGATCCTACTTTGGCTGGATTGTAGCTCTCCCTGTGCTCTGTTACTTTGATGATGGTAGCCTTTCTTCTGTGGATGACTGTGTCCAAAGCATTGCTAGCTGTTGGGGTCCCCGCCCTTATTGTGCTGGGGCTGGACATCACCCTTTGCTCAGTCACTTTGACTATAGTGGCCTTCCTCTGCACTGTAACCTGCCTGGAGTTTGGGTCCATGGTCTGGTGGGATAGTGGTGGCGAAGGGGATTCACTTGACTGGGAAGAGTGGTTGCGGTTCTTGGCGCCAGGTAAACTGGCCGATCTGGTCACTTTCCTGGAGGAGATGGTGATGGAGGAGAAGCCGGCTTTGTTCTGAGGGATGATTGTAGTCACAGCAGAGCTTGTCTGTATGTGCGAGGGATGTGAGCTGTTGTTTGTTCTGCACAGTGGGGCTGTTGCCCTTATAGGCTGAACACTGGTTGTCCTATGCAAAGGAGTATATGACTTATATGTCTCTGTGCTGCTTGTCCCTTGCTGCAGAGTGTGTGGTTTGCAGGGATCAGCAGAAGTTGTTCGACGTAGACTATTCTTAAGGGGCTCTATGCTGGTTGTTTTCATCAGAAGGGACTTCCTGTTGGGGTCTGAGCTGGTCCCTGTGGGGAGATCGTTGGACTGACTGCCTCCAGGGAAAGCTGACCCCCTGTTGGTGTTCCAGCCTCTTCTCAGAGTTTGCCAGCCCACAGATCTGTCCCCTTCGTTAACTGGAAAGCTTTGTGTTTCTGGCACCTACATCGTGTGGATAAAAGAGATTCTTTGTGATAAATATTCTTAATTATGCATAGAAACCCCATCCCACCCTCCTGTTGTTGCTAATGTCTCTTGCTAAATGTTTTGTCATTAATCAACACAATACAAAACATGCTGTAAATTCGTCTTACCAATTTGAGCTCCTGTTTTCAAGAAGCAAATGCAGAAAATTGAGCATAACCTAATTTAATACGGTATAAGATATTGACAGTATGACATCTCTCTAATACTACATTTCAACAGCAGGTCAGCTGTCTTGTCTTTCTTCAGGGCTTTGCTGTTTGTTCTTTAGTCAGATGACTCTCCCCATGCTTGACACAGTGAATGCCCCAGTAGCAATGGAAGCAGCAGCAGGCAAAGCCAGCACACAGTGTGACTTATCCCTCACGGAATCACAATGAGACTCTATCCTCAATAGAAACTGAGAAGCAAAAAAGAAAAAAAAAAAATCTGGTCCTTGGGCTAGAGGATTCTGATGGTGTTTATAGAGCATGGAGAAAAGCTGATATGTCCCTGTTGCCTGCAGGTTTATGGTGCGACAAACCTCCCTGATCCTTCCTTTATCAATGTTGCATAAACCATGGCAGTAATCACTTGAAAATGAACAAAGTATGAGATTTTGACATTTGTACTTATGTTTGAGGAATTTCAACAAGCTCTGACCATGCTTTTACCCAACACATTGTAGCTGTCAACAAAATACTTAGAGTGGTAAATAGTCTGTTATCTCTTTTATATATTCTTACTTTAGCACACTGATATATTTTTCAAATTATAATCAAATTTATAATGACAGTAGTAATTAAGGTGGCAGGAATTTAGTCCATTTAAATTTTGTATCAGGCAAAAATTAGACTAGTTTGTCATCTGTACAAAATGTCTAATTTTGCATTGGCTAAATGCTGCTGCAGCAGAGAGCACACAGACACTGACATCTGTGCTGATAATGGTCCACAAAGCAAAGTTGATCACAAGTCATTTCTTTTTTTTTTTCAGTGACTGTTCTGCATTCAGACGAGGCATTGTTTGGAGAGGCTTTGACCTTATATGTTTTTCTCTGATTTGTTAAGCCACTCTTTCAAGTTCCATAGAAAAGCTTTTCTTGAAGTTTTTCATCTTTCATCCCTTGGACTGCTCTATCATAAATGTCTCATTTCCCTTTTAAAGGGATGGCTTGCAACATAACTGATACATTTCTGGTATATCTTCATGTACTGTAAATGAGACTCTCACGTCACATAAATGAGGGGTCAGAATGTGTTCAGGAGTCCAGGACTAAACTAAATTAAGTCAAAATGAAAAACTAGTTTGGTAGTTTAGACTATTTTCAACACAGTGTTTATAAATGAGGCCCAACACTGAAACACTAAATCTATCATGGTTAGAAAGTGGCATAAGTATCAAAAACACAGACATACTATGTGCTTAACAGACACAAACATAATATTCACAACATATATCATAATATTCTACCATTATAGTGTTATCTTCTGGTTTATCCTGAGCTCAGTATACAAAAACGATCATACTAGAGGTGTTATCAGTTACCTGTTTAGTAATGGGAGAGTCTTGATCAGGTGTCTGCCACGTCCTCACACCCAAAGCGCTCAGACTGGTGCGACTTCTCTCCACCTCTTCATCTATGTATCAAGGCAAAACAAATCCACTGACACATTCCCCACAAGACATGACACTTTCTCTCTCTCTCTTTCTCTTTTACACACACACACATACACACACACACACAGAAGTTAGGCATTCCCCTGACTGTATGTCAATGTTGACACTGTCAATAATTGACGTTGGCACAGCAAAGTGAATTTAGAACCACCCCGGAGCCACTTCTCTGCTTCCTCAGGAGACAGAGCAACTTGACTGGTCTGCCTCTCAGCCCTGACTGATACTCTGTTCCCCCCATGACTGCCTGCCTGGTTGCATTTACACCTGCTGCTGTTACCATGGTGACTGGCTCTCACTTTGGGATAACCCTTGAATGCTGTGTGGATAATCCGTGGTGTTTTTTCATTTTAAGGGAGAAAACAAGAGACAAGGTGAAAATTGCACCACTTTGCAAATGTGATTACAGCTGAAAAACAAAAAAAATCTGTCTTTAAAGGTACCATAAAGGACTCTACTCTTTCTGACACATTGTTCCACCTGCTGTCATCACTATATGTCTAATTTATTTCTCTATAAAGGGCCAGACGCCAACATATGGACCCCCTCAAAGAGCTTCTCTCATTACCTCCAGAGCTCAAATAACCTTTTTTCTGACTCAACAGCTGACCTTAATATCCCAGAGGAAAATAAAGAAGCAAGGCCATATGGTAAATACCCTCTGAAGTCCCCACCCGCCCAATTTATTCCTCATCCTCATGAGTTTTATCTAAATAGTAAGTGTGAGCAGGGTGAAAATTGGCGAGCTTGTCTAAACATGAAGGCCCTTGGAGCACAAGATCCAATTTTATTATCATTTGCTCATTAACATCAGGCCATTTTAAGTTTGTAAAATGTGACTTTTATGGAGGCAGAGAGCACTAAGTGTCTGCAATGAGACCTCAAGTCTGATTAAAAGTATTTCTGCAAGGGTTGCCAGCAACAACCAGAAAGAGAGGGAAAAGGGATAGAAAAGAGGTGGGATAATTTGCTAGCTGGAGTGTAACCGAGTCAATTCTTGTTGGAATAATTGTGGTTGGAATTTCTAATTTTCTTTCATTTAGTTTTCACAGTTGGAATTATGGATTTAAATGTACTGACAGCTGAGCAAAAGCAACTCGCATCAAAACAAGGCATATTTGGATGCAGTCCTGCATAAAGATTTTAGTTTCTTGTTGATCATCTTTCTTCAACTCATTTTTGGGATTTCAGCCATGGCCAATTTGTGTATGTGCACCTGCAATGTATTATTATTCAGAGTGAAATAACTAAAAATATGAATATTTATGGCCAATTTTATTGACTGGCAAGAGATTTATCATTTATTTATAATTTCTAAGATAAATCATCACCAGAAATAGTATGTGTCAAATGCACATAATGATGCTTATATAACATATGCTTCAACAATTATATTATAGGCCATATGGAAAATTATTATTAATAACAGTCTACCATGATTATACCTTTCAATATGTCAGTATAGCCTGTGCCTGTAGCTTTTAACCAACAGTGTATGATGTTAATAAGGTTTATGGTTCTTAAAACACCTTCCTATCAAAGTTCCTTGCTGCCATGGATGGATTGCTCTGATTTCGACAAGCAGCCTTAGCTTTGCCAGGATAATCTATGTACAAGGTTGGAAGATCAAACCTCAGATCAAACCCAGAGAACGTGGGGCTGCCATGTTCAAAGATTAACAGGGCTCCTTCTCCAATCAGCCTGCATCTCTCCTTATCCCTCTGCTTCCCTCATCTCTTTCCATCACCCTTTTAAAGCCTAATAGTGTCTATTTCCTTTACCTGCAATACTGCAGTACACCGTGGCATAACAGTCAGGACCAGTTGTACTTGAAATTGACTTTGCTTTTGGGGGTGTTGTGTTGTTGTAAAGTGATCATCCAGTCAGTGTGGAGTGTTCGAAAGAGGACAGGGGCAACACTGCTGCAAGGAGCTGATTAGAGGCAGGTAAACTGTGTGGCAAGCCAGCCCTGAAATAAGCTGTTGTTCTCCCTCTGGCTAACGTGGCCTCTGCAGTTACCCTGTGGCCATATTTGTTCTAGCACTGATCAGGCACTACAAATCAACTGAAATGGAACCTTTGTGTGTTTCAGGGAATTTTCTGTTGTGCAAGAGAGTTTGTCATGTTTTTAAATCTGGTTTCTTGTATTGCTTCAAGGTATAACATAATGAGCATACTAGCATAATTGGGCTTTTTTTAAAAAAAAATTTACTATGCTTAACTGTAAAAACTCTGTTGTTATACAAGTAATTGTAAACTGATAGAGCAAATTGTATGTTACATACCCTGGGTCCTGTTGGCTGTTGCTCGATTCTTTTGAAATGTTGGAGTGATGGGTTGTTTCAATTTCATCTGTAAACACAATTAGCAGACTTGATTTCACATTTAAAAAAGTACCTTTGCATCAGTATTGTCTGGCCTTAAAAAGTTTATTTTGTTTGGTAGAAAATTGATATATTTAAAATAATTCTTTTTGAGACAAACGCTTGTTCATTTTCTGAAAGTTAGATGAGAAGATTGATATCACATATCACTCTATGTTTGTATGAATCACCTCTAATGCTCACTAATTAACACGTAATCTGTTGTTTACATTTAAATGTAAAAAAGCTCTTGGCAAAGAAAGTGTGTATTTGCCCAAAATTTGTTTTTAATTACTCCTTTAGCCATAATATCTCAGAACTATAATTCTTAAATATCAGTTAAACCAACCTTTGATTTAAACTACTGTGGTGAAAATCCCCAAAATCTCAACACTGACTTCACATAATTATTTCTTTTCAGTGAAGAGTCACAAGGGAAGGGATGTGCTTTGTGCATCAGTTCAGTCAAATCTCTGGTACAGCACAGCAACTTATCGATTTTGAAGTCATATTATCAGTTCACTGGGTAACACTCCCATTGAATTTTCTCTGTACACTGACTTGTGTCCTCTCAGGGCATAAAGCTCTATATCTAGAGCTCCAAATGAGTCGTAAACCTTTCGAGAATGTGTGGAGTTCCTGCAGAGTAAGCTGTTTTCAAAGGATGCCGGAGCTCTGCCTTCTCCCTGGGTAACTGAGACTTGACTACAAATGGCTCTCTGTGGCACTGTGTGTGTTTTAGTCTTCCTTGCTTGGCACTACGCACCATCACCTCCATTACACAGCACTTTACCTTTAGACTTGCAGAGCTTACACTGTCTAACTAACATGTAAGAATCACAATCACACACCCTGAGAGGATGTCAGTGCCAAATCCAGGGTAAATCAGTCAAGCGTCTTTGCAACGGCCTATTTTAAAAGGCTGATACCCCAAAGAGCAGACACTACAGCTGTTCTACGAGGTTTCTCTGAGACAAGAATTCTCAGTGCTCCGAAATAACAGTAAGGAGGCCTACAACTACCAAAATAACCTGAGTTGCATACATTTAGTTGGTACAGTTGCAGAATTCCAGTTCTAGAGTATCTTCAATTAGCAAATGCTCTGTTAGAAAACTATGTGAATATACTTAAAGCTTTGTTGGGTGTTTTAAGTGTTTTACCTGGCCAGCAGAGTGGTCCAAACACTGGCTTTGTTTGCTAGCATCAGCCATCATCACTTTTCTTTGGATAGGCAGCCACCCAATTTTAACTGGGGCAAGATAACTGAGCTGAGCTTGCTCCTTCCCTGGGGCCTGCATGATATGAGCTCGCTCCCAGTTTCCTCTGCGGTCTGGAGGAGAAAAAAACCCAGTTTGGAGGGACTCCTGGCTGCCCAGCGAACTTTCACACAGGCTGGGACTACCACATGAAGATGAACCTCTGCTGAAGGAGGGAATCCCCAACTGTCTCCAGGCACGTCCGGTGGGCTCTTTGTCGAGAGCAGGCATGGATGTTGTTCGATCATTGAAAGCTGGAACCTGATCTTGAACTGGGGCTCTGAGAAGGTCGCTCTGCATCCTCTGCAGGTGCTCCAGCCAGCCGTCCAGCTGGCCCCCTTCAATGGCACTTTGGGGCCGAGGTGGACGTGGGGGGCGAGAAACACGGGGCAAAACCTCACCCTCTGCTATTGAACTTTCCCAATAGGACTCATCTCCTGATCTCCTCCAACCCGGAGCTCTTCGTAGGTGGGCAGCTGGCCTGCGGAGAGTCATCCCTCTGGAGCTCAGGTAACCACTCACAGCTCTAGGGTTTCAGCCTACAATAAAAGCCCTTTACAGTGGAGGTATTAATGAGAATCCCCTGGCTCAATTGGACTTCTTACCATGAGGCATGCCAGAAATGCACTGCAAGGAATTAGTAGCTACCAGAATGCTGGAGGTCATCTTTGTTACGGATCTGTTATGAGAAGGTATCAGAGTACAGTTCAGAATGACAAATAACTGCAAATCATTCTAGTTCATGACAGACTACAATGTTATGCTTTCATTACACCACTCTACAGATTCGCTGATACTACAACTTACCAGTTATTGACAAACTATCCTTTTTCACTTGCTTCCAAGTCTCCTCAGTCCTTAGTGCCTCGGAAGTAAACAGTCTCTGTCTTGATATAAACTAGGTGCTAGTGGGTACTGTCTCCAGTCAGGCATATAGCAATGTGAGGGATGCTTTGGTGAACAAAAGAGTTACTGAGCACAAGGGCTGAATATCCAATACAGAGAGGGAGATGGCAAGAGACAGAAGGGGTGGGCGGGATTAAAGAAAAAACAAACACTTGTTGGTGCAATTCATGACGTAACAAGATCTCCATTTAGACTAAGAACATAATTAACATTCAGCATTTTAATTATGAAACAGTCTAATTTTGGGTTTATGTAAGTCAGACGCACACAATGTTTAAAAAAACTAATCAAACTTCCTGACATTCAGGCGTCCTTACAAATGATAAAGCGTCACTAATGAGCAGATTATCCATGTTATTCCATGAGTCACTTACTGCTTCAGAAATCCTCTTTGTTGAATTCCCCCTGTTTCTGCTCTTCCCTGTGATCTCGTGGTTGGTGGCTGATGATGAGGCATTGCTATCCTCGAGCCTCTATTCAAGCCATGTGACTTTAGCAAGACTGCCTTAAAAATGGGCCAGTGTCCTCTTGGATAAGTAACTGTGACCCACATGATGTCCCATAATGCATGAGTGAAGGGTATTTACAAGACAGAAAAACTTGAATCTAGCTGGAGGCAAGATTCCGCTTTAGATTGTATTTTGACGCAGTTAAACACAGATCAGCAAAGATACAACTTCTTCCAGAAAAAAAAAAGAATTAGCAGTTGCTTTGATGTTTAATGAATTTCAGTGTTCCTCAGTGGATTAACAGTGTGTTACAAAGCAACTTCAGTCCCACTGGGTGAAATAACATTTTTGAAATGTCTTTGAAAGACAGCAATAAGACAGAGATATCTTAAATAATATTTAAGATATCTCTGTCTTATCAAAAAATTAGCAGACTTGATTCCTGCTTATAGACACCTTATCAAACCGAGGAGCAACATGCAGAAGGAATATGCAATGCTTTAAAGGAATTTGCTTTTTGTCTGCTCTGCCTGGGAGATAGCATTAAACTAAAAACTAAATGGTGTAAGAACAGATTTAAAAAAAGGAGCATCTTGTGTATGAGAAAAAGTTTGAATGCTGTAGTGCCCTCTGCTGGTAAATTTCTAACATGACAAGTGGAAGCAGAGACAGCAAAGGAGGGCATGGGGTCATAGGTTTGAGAGACATCCCGAAAACATGGGAAGCAACCACAGGATGCGATATTTGTGCAGACAAGATGAATAAAGATGAGTTGATTCAAATGCGTGCACCAGGTGCATCATTCTGATGTCTTTTATTTAGCCCCTGCAGCTCTGAGGAACAACTCTTATTAGTTCAACACATCACTGCTCAGAATAACAGCCTCACTTAGGCTCCTAGGAGCCTATATATCGCCCTCATTAAGCACAAAAAAGAAAGAACATTGAGATAGAACACATGAATTCTAATTCTGTGGTTGAGCCAATTTAGGGATACAACTTCTGCGTATGTGAGTTTTACCAGAGTAACACCATAAAGAAATGTCACTGTAAGTTTAATGACAATTCTAAATAAGTTGAAACAGCATGAGTGCAATTAGTGTGGTCTTTACTAATTATTTATTTATTTCAAGTTAAGTGAAGCAGAAGAATTTTAATTTCTAACAACTGCTTCATTGTCCCTAACAGCCTGTATAGAAAATAAAAAGTAATTTTATCCTAACTGTACTTCATCCATCTTATTTTTAATCATATGCAGACTTATCCATATCTCTGTGTGTATTTACCATTGCTATTAGTAGTATTAGTATTGCTTACTTTGGTTATCATTATATATATATATTAATCCCATACTCCATTGAGTTCTTTTTTATATCTGTGTATTGTTTGTCTTGTGCATTATGTAGGCCTATCCTTGTGCATGTTATTATGGCAGAGTAAAACCAAACCAAGGCATTTAGTGTTGCTATTCATTTTCAGAATCAGAATCAGCTTTAGTGGCCAAGTGTGGACACAAACAAGGAATCTGACTCTGTTACTCTCTATGTACTTACACAGAGAACCATTTACAGGAAGGTAGAGATAAACCTACAGCTAAAAACAAGCTCAACAAAGCTGAACAAAGACAGGTAAAGGCAAACAAAGAAGTAGTAGACATAAAAGCAACAATGACCAACAAATGCAAACATTGCAAAGGCAATGGCTTAAAGTACTAGATTACTTTATATAGGCAGTTTATGTATACACATTCATAGGCTATATGCAGCATATATGGATTCATTTTATTTATCTTCACAGTACCCTAACATTTTTAATTCAGCTTACTATAAAAGTGATTTATGTGAAGAAAATAACTATAAAAGGTTTGTTTTCATGTATTGGATGTGGCGAGGGTCATATAGTTCACCCATCGTTTTATTTATCACCAGTTGGACTCACAGGCCTATTTCTAATAATATGCTGCTACAGATGAATGTAGAGTCAACACATCATCAATCAAAGTTTTCAATCATACAAGGCTACAAGTATCCGCCTCTAGGATTAAACTGCAGTGGAAGTTTAGCAGGACGCCTACAGGGTGAAAAAGTTTGTGATCCCTTCCTCCCCCTTGCGGAGCGTCCTGTCACTGGTGGAAAATGGCTGCTCGGAGTAGCTCCCCAAAGCTCAGAGAAAACTGAAAAAAAAAGTCCACATTAACATCAAGGGGTCTCATCTGGACCTTTTCACACGGGCTTAGACGACCACTCGGGGAAGGCTCGACACTGAGAATGTCTCGCTGGGTGCCCACCAAAAAGGAGAAGTATGGTGTTGGTACGTAAGAAAACTTGCATGCTCCATCGTTAGCTCGTCCTAGCTCTCTCTCTCTCTCTCTCTCTCTCTCTGCTCTCAGATTGCACAAGTTTTTTTTGGGAAGGATTGTGATTAGAAAAGGCGACCCGGCTGTATTGTTTCTCACACGGCCGTGCGCGAGATTGTTGGGAGTCGCATTTGCCTAAACGGCGGGAATGCAAATGTTATATGTCGGTGATTTGTCAGCTAGTTTTGCATGAAACGCTAAACAAGGAATGTGTGTCTATTGTGAGGAAGAGGAAGAGGACTGTGTGTGTGTGTGTGTGTGGATTGGGAATTGTTGAGAGGCGCGCCTAGTTATAGCGCTGTTTCCTGTGTTATGGGGCCTCCGCTACAAACTAACTAGCTGTGTATCTGGCCACTTGTAACTGTTTAGTTTTTGTTGGTTGTTTGTGTTAACTGCTTCATCTTCTGCACGGGGGGGGTTGGGAAGCTTTTTTTTTTGTTAGTGTTTGTCATTTATTATCACTTCCTCAAAAAACCCGGCGTCACACTGTCCCGTTCAGCTTCCACTCTCTCTATTTCAGGGGATTATTTAACAAGAAAAAAAGTAGGTGAAGTTACAAGGAAGGGGTTCAATTAGAAAAATACCAAAAGGCCAACATATAGCCTACTCTGTGCGCCACTGTATAGCTGACATGAATATTAATTATATTTTATTTATTATTTTAATGCATGTTTTAATCGCTTTAAAAGTTTGTACAATACAGTTATAGCGTGGGTATGTTTTTATACTCTAACTAGGCACTTTTCTTCAGGTGCTGAATTAATTTTAAAGGACTTTTAACAATGACATTAAACAACAGGGTTTAATTTATGCATTTATTCTGTCTGTTAGTGCTGCTGGCATTAGATGTCATTTTTAAAAATACATTTTTAATAACTGGGTTGACAGCCAAAAAATACACGTTTGTTTTTAAAATTATTTCTCTTAGCAGTATAATTGGACTAATAGATGGATTGTGTATTTTAAAAAAAAAAAAAAACTGGAAACAACCTCATAAACCACCTTGGTGCAGGCAAGATAGCCAGAAACCTTTTTTTAAAGCATGGTTCATTGGAGGTATTGGGGAAGAGCTTGTTTAATTTTGAAGCACTCATAATGGGTAGTGTGAAATATGAGAGCAACACAATCATGGTTAAACACACTCACTGTGTTCATACATGAATGCCTGAAATAATAGTGTAATGGAACTAATCCTGATTTTCCTGGGGATCCCTCGCTAGTCCTATTCAGTCTGCAGTGTAGCAAAGTTACATGTGTTTTTGTGACAACAGAGGGTTATTTTTACACGTGTAATGTACCGCACCACATACATTTTTAGCTGCGTCCATTAGTGGGACTGGGGGCTCGCAGCAATATGAGGGATGCTGATGCTGATTGATGGATGAGTTCAGCAGGTTACACCAAAGCTGTGATTGGCATCTCACTCTACAGCTTCCAAATGAGCTCTGTTATTTTTCAGCCCGGTCCACTTTGTCTCCTGAGCACATATGGTTGGGTGTAGTTTATATAGGTGTGTGCTTTGTGTGTGTGGAGAGTATACTATTCTGATGCTAATGATTGCCTCAACATATTCTCAAATATCCATGAGATCTTGAAAACGGAGGTTCTTCAAAACACCTTGGAGGAAATTCTCACAGGGCTCCCTGAATGCGAGAGTGGATGAGTCATTAGTAGAAAGAGAGGCAGCTGCCACATCACTGCTGCAGACGATTGGTGAGGTGCACAGCCATTGCACTTTTAATACTTCATGTGTTGACCAAGAAGCACTAATGAGCACTCTGTGAGACCTCTTATGCTGGCAGTACTCACCGTGGACCTATTTCTGTTTCAGCAAAAGTTTTGTCACACCGTTCACTGCTCTTGTAATGGCCCCATGGATTTATTAGTGTATGTAAGAAAACCATCTACTTCACAGCAGTGTTAATAATAAATACTACTGTCTTCATACACAGCGCATGGCAGTGATGATAAAGGGCTTTGTTATCATACTAACAAATTCACATTGCAGTATTTGGATGATTGTGGAAGCAAGGCTTTGCACAGTAGCTATCTCCAACACAAAACCAATAATAGAAATTAAAATGTATTAGATTTGTGCCAGTAATAACTGAAACACATAAATTATTTTTTCACAAAAATGTATGGTTATGTCTGTTGTCAGGAAATTGTGTCAGAGGCACAGCAGCTTAATTTGCATTTTGATACAAAAACAAAGTATGGAGTATTGTTCTTAACCTTCAGTGTTAATCATAATCTAACAAACGTGGCAAGTATTTCAGTATTTTAAATCCAACATGGTTTACATTTATGTTTATTAGCTTGAAGTCTTTTTATTTACGTTTGTTGTTAAAACCTGTAGAAAAACCCACACATAGGGGCTACTAGAGGTCTAAGACTTAACAGGGATTCTTTAGGTACAATTTTATGTAAGTGCCTTTGTTTTACAGCTGTTCTACTTGTGCTACTTACTTTGCTGGTAAAGAATTTCATTAGAAAACATGATAATGATGTCAAATTTGATTATAGAGTGTTAGAATGCACTTTCCATTTGTATATGTAGTAGTCAAAATTAAATTAAGATCTCCTCCAGACATGTATTATAACCTATATAAATAGTCTGCTGTGTTTTTTT